CCCCCCCCTCTCCAGGTCTATCAGTAGTGAAAATGTAAGAAAACCATCCTAGCGGTAATGAACTCTCGTTTTCTTAGTTTGCCTAACGCCCATCGAGCGAAGGAGCAGGGTACGGTCAGAATAAGACAATGATGCTGAACAGCTGTCAAGAACGAGTTCCTTCGGTTTCGCATACATCGCCGTGATGGACATAATTTGTGATACAGTTTATGGTGCTGATTTGGTCGTTCACAAAGGCGTTTTACATGCCACGTTTTCATCGCGAAGGTTCTAATTTCCTTCCAGCACAGATTTAATATTAAATGTCTTCGAAAATTATTTGGTTTCGCATCTGTACATAAACTCTAGTTCTCCTCGTAGTTCATGCGGTGAATTTTAAATGTAAAGTGGCCTTATTTCGCCTGTTCAACGCAGGGAACAGCCAAAACGACATAAAATTAATAAGTGCGCAACACCCTCACATAGACTTCATTTTCTGTACTTTCTTTGGCATGAAATAGGCGATAGGAGGGATGTTTGACCATTGAACTGTACTATGAAGGCAGATACATTTGAGAAACGCGATAGCAACTCGTAAATACTTCACGGATGACAATAGTTCTGAGGCAGAGAAATATAAAATTCTGGAGAATCAGGTTACTGGTCCATTGGGATTCAATCAGGATTATTCGAAAAGGGTCCGACAGGAAAAGAAGGAAAATTCTGGAGGCTGCAATGGCAGAACGACTGCATAGGAAGATGAATGGACAAAACGAAGCCTATATGATTAGTACAGCTTGGCTTTCGTTATCACACCAGAGTTTTGTTTTCTCTTTTTCTTTTATTGCATAGATAACATTTCTTTCAATTCCGCTCTGGTTGTTTACTTTTTTCACCTCTACAATTTGGTATCATCCCTTCTCGGCCAAGTCACGAACCTCGGACAGCATTTTCTAAATGGGAGGGGAGGTAACACCATCATTATCATCAATGTGGCTTGTGGTTTGTCATCGTGCTATGCAAAATTCTGCGAACCATGCTCCTGATTCAGAGTGATGATGTATTCCTTGAGTAATCGATTCCTTGATGATTAAAACTAATCACGTAATAAAATTTATTAAATGTGGATATAATTCATATTTGTATGATTTAGAGTCGAAAACAAACTTTTAGGGGACGTTAATCAACGTACGGACGTTAAATAAAAATTCACAAACATTAGATGTGTTTTTATAATAAAATACTGACACAACGTATTTAGACAGATATTATTATTTTATTGCTTAGGTAACTTGAGAATCAGGACTTGAGCAACAGTTGTTGAATCCAGAGCAAGATCGGCAATAATCATGCCGCAGCATGGGAATAATGTGTACCAGCCGTGAGAAAAGCAAACTTTGGACCTTTGCTCCTTCCAGTTAGAATAACGAACTCCAATGGGTGCTGGCTGAGTGGCTTCGATTGGGACACAGCCCGGTAGATCTGCGTTCAGTATTAGGCTCCAAATGCGAAGCTGTGTTGTCACAAGGCTCAGACATGCAGATTGTTAATTGTTTAAGTAGCTGGCACTGCAGTCGGTGTTCGCTGCTTCGACCCTTCCCTTCGTCGCTGCGTACGTTGTTGGATCTGCGGCCGTGGTACGACGTTGCACTGGTTTGTCGGCACCAGGCGAAATTCCTTTCAGTGTAAGTACGCTTTTGAACCTGCAACCACCGATGACCTTTGTGGCGTCGTACAACGTAACGTCGACGCATGTTCGTTCGAGAAACCAGACGAGACCGGCAGGGACAAGTGGTTGTTGCTGGTTGACGGTGACAATTACCTACTACGGGGGGTCAAGGAACGCGTCTTCGGGTTCATTCGTTGTTTTCGGCCGACCAGCACTGCTTCAGCGACATCGGATCATTGAGGCTTAATCGACCTGAGGTGGCCTCGGTTGACCGCCGCTGCCCGTCGTTCCCACGTCATTAGCACGTCTGCCAGTGATCCTCTGTGCTTCGACAACTATTCAACGCCTACGTATTTCGATGCTGCCGCTTTCTAATAGCTGGCACTCACCGGTGAAAAGCAAAGCCGTCCTTTCAAAGACAACGTCGACTCGTCGTCGGCCACTTATTTGGGTCAGAACGTGCCCGCAACTGGTCCAGATTACTCGGAACTGCGAAACAGGTCCGGCGGTCAACTGCCAATTATTACCGACTAATCGTAATATCATATTGTTTAGTCATAAATTTGCTGAAATTCGTTGATCGCTGAAAACCGACTTGGCAGCGTACCGGATTCCCTCCATATTCCACCTAATGGGTCAAGGATTGTTGCGCTTGGCAACAAAAGAACTATTATCCTATCGGTTACATAACGCAGCCGCGGCGAAGCGGCAAAGCCGGTTTGTCATTTGGGTGTGAGTACAACAAATCTTCAAAACAATTCCTTATAACTCACTTACGCTTGAGGAACGCCTGTCACACACGACAGATCAATTGCTGTCACATTTGCATCAAATTATAAGCGCGGACGTTATGTCAGTTGCAAACTACTATAGTTGTTAGGTCATCTGCCTTACAGCAATACGCTATACTTGGCATTGTTTCTTTGCGAAAGACTGTTGTATGACTCGAAATGCTGACTCATATTTCTTGGCGGGGGGGGAGGGGCAGAGTGAATTATAGACTTATCTTAAAATTCGTATGAAGGATTCGAGTCGAATGCGTGGCGCAGAACTTTCTTACTGAAACTGTCAGTTCCTTTGAGCAAGGAATTCACCGGTGTGCTTCGGTGCAACATGCGAAAGACGGGAAACTTACCATCACACCACTTGATGTATGCGCTTTAAGGCTGTCTGTAATTTGCGTTGATCTGTCTAGCAAATAACCAAAAAACAGAAAACCCCAGTCTGTTGCGTGCAGCTTCAGTGTAAAACCCGCAAATAAAAAAAATGAAATTAATATGCGAAGTTCAGTTGAGAAAAAGTGAGCTCGTCTGATATTACACTTTAAATAAATAAATTAAATAAACCAAAATATGCTTACCAGAACATAGAGTAGTAGCAACTTCATGATCAGAGCCATGTCTAAAAGTAAAGAGATGCAGACGATTTGGTGCGCGATACTCGTATGAATGCGCTTACAAGTGTGAAAGCGAAGTATTATGCGTACCGGCGGAAGCCCTGGTGCTATTCACCGAAAAAAT